CTAAATTGCTGGAGAGATCTCCCACAAGCTAAGATCCAAGCTTGGATTGAGCGTATTCTTATACATATTCCAAAGATAATTGAGCTACAAGGTGGTAATGAGTATATAGAGGGGAGAGATAGGCGTTGTGTAGGAGAGCGGCCAGATTTCGGCTAAATTATTCTTGGCAGGACAAAACTTTTGTGAGGCACCTCCGTACGCCTTGCTTACCTAGGATCACTTTTCCCTTCAAGGATAGCTTTCCAACAAGTCCACTGCCACATACTTGGATTCATTGCACCTTCAGGTGCCATGCGTACATAAAGCTTGCGGCTAAGCATCGCCAAGCCCTCTTAACTATATAGCTGTAAAAGCTTGTCAACTTCCTATTTGTAGCTTGCTGATATACTCAATATATGTGGGAAATAGAGACTTCTCCTTCGTAACATACCAACTGCGAAAGTTTCCAGGCGTTTTCATATGCATTGAGCAAGCAAAGATGCCTTGATGCTACAAAACAGTCCTCTTATACTCATGTTCATGTATAGATATCACTGATTTGCCCACGACTGCCATCTACCCACACAGAAAACATGTATTTCTTTATAGACGTTCATTTCGGACAAAAAGATGAGAAACCAATCAAAGGTTAGAAGTTAAGACTGCATTCCTAGGCAATATGAAAACGCAGTCTGAGGAGATCCCCATAAATTGATCCAAGCTCAAGTATCCAGAGGTATGGCTATATACAAGCCTAAAACCTACATGATTCGGGTAGTCTCTGGATACCCTAAGTGCAGTTGTAAATGAGATCCAGTGAATGAAACATCAATTCCCACCACTAAAGATACTCCCAGCGATTGCAAAATTCAGCATTCACTTCGTCAATGATGCCTGCTTGGGGTTTGCCATCTTTTCCTTTGCTCTTGAGATCCAGGCGGTCGATCTTAAACTCGTCCAACGCATATTCCGAGTGCCCGTTTAGTACCATGTCCTTTAGGGCTCTACCGATCAGTGGTACGAACTTCATAGCCCAGCCGGCAGTAAACAATGCCACACTATCCTTCGCACCACCTTGGAGATACCGTTCTGGAATGTAGTCTAGTACAAACATGTTATCTGATAGTTAATTAGCTTCTATACTTGCCAGAAAGAGACAGCCATACCGAAAGTGTTCGTCTGCAGACACGATAAGGTATACGCAGGCGTTATGTGGTCAACTCCAACCAAGTGCTTTTCAATGAACTGTTGTGTGTCATGTATATCCTCGGGATTCACAACACTGCCGCATCGTTGATTGGGATCTTTAATTTGTCTCGTTGCTGCATCGACTGCAATTCGACACACGTTGGGAGGACCCCACTCGACTGTTGGGAACCCATAGAACAGCCGCGATCTGCCATGATCGTTCTTTGCAAACTGAAACCACATGCCTTGAAATGATTAGTGGCTTTGCTAACAGATTCTGTCGCCACCTACTTGGAAAATGGGTTCCATGAGGGCCGGCATTGACCGTGAAGTACGATGCTACCATCTCCCAGATGTTGAGTTTCAGCTTGAGATTAAAGCTGGGTTGCAATACATGGTTTGTGTATGCACCTGCCGCTATGATGATTTTCCGAGCCCTAAATGAAACCGTATCATTGCCGTTGACACGAGTTTCGACCTTCCATATGTCTTCACCATTCTCCTTGACAGGGACAAGTGTTCTCACCTCGGCATATTGCTGAGTGTGAGCGCCATAGTCTTTAGCCAGGCGCGCCAGCGTTCGAACGAGTAGCGGAACATTGATCACGCCATTATCTGGAGCAAATATGCCTTCCCACGCTTCTGGGAGGTTCTTGAACGGGTACTCGTTTTCCATCTCTTGTTTAGTCACTGATATCATATAAGCCCAGAAGTGTTGGATATCAAGTCAAACACGTACTCTTGCGAAAAGGCATACCCAGACTCTCTAGATTAGCTATTGGTCCCATGAGCGTTCCTTGAGGATATTTAGTATTTTTTTGTTGCATACGGAAAACCTCGAATGCGAACCTTCTGGGGTGTCTTCTCCCATTGTAGGATCTCCGAAATTTAGGAGCCCCGACATTGTCCGCAAAGATGTTCCACAGTCCATTTCTAGTTCTTTCCAAATGCTCATAGACTTGTAAGCAAGCTCCGCCATGAATGGCTCAGTGTACCTTTATCTCATGTTTAAGCAGAAGTTTCCCAATGAAAGAGTGTAATGTTCTTATCTTACATGGTGCGATACATCCTGGCTAGGTCATTGGAGCTTCCAGCCGAGTTGAACAAACAGTTCTGCTCGAGTACTAGGATAGACTTGCCTGCTTTAGCTACCTCATATGCAGCACCAAGCCCAATCGCACCTCCTCCAACTACGATAACATCATAGAGTTGAGAATGCATGGCTCTTGCACGCAGTAAGGTCGTTTGCTGACAAATAGCTCGGTCTTATGTTTGAATGCTATAGAAAGCCGTGGAATAGATGCATATATCAGTCCATCGAGTCCAGAAGCTAGGTCGACCCAGGTGGATGTCGATTGAACCGCTCAGCTGAGGCGGATTGCTCCCAGTGCCACACTCGGCACGAGCTTGCTGAATGTATGACTAAGAGACCAAGGTTCGGAGATATGAGATCCCAGGCCGACAATCTTGTAAGCATGTCTGACTCAGTGTCTTAATGTACCAATACAACTTTATACGAATATAACAGCACAATAGGTTAAGCATAATGGCTTGGAGATATTCTCGGTAGACTTGTGATTGGATGTGAGTAATCGCACTGACTATCCAGCCCCCAAAATGATTCATCGCCTCGCCTATGTCTTTTGACTTATTAATTCTTGTGGGTATCCCTGTCATTTACAGTCAAGTTAGTGTTTGACATGATTGTCAGTTGTGCTACGCCACGTATGAGGCCAGCTTACTCGATAAAGTTTAATTCTCCAAGTATGTATTTTTCATCTCACTACTGCCAAGTGGCATCTTGAGATCGCGCAAACTCCAAAAGAGAAAATTACATGCAAAAAGGTCGGGTCGTAGTCGTTCAATTCTCAAAAACACGATTTCGCCAAGTATGAGCGGGGGTAACAGTACCCTTCGTTCAAGATGGGCAGCGAGGCTTCTCAGGCAGAACATCTTCCATGAGCTGACCAACTTCACGAAAGAAAATATCCATGATCGGCGGAAACAGGATCGATTGCCAAAGAATTCACAAACGGAATGTCTTCAACTCTCAGCTCCTCATTTGAGCGGCCTCTTCGATACAATTCCCACAGGCCCATTCGATCTTCCGAAAGATATTGTGCAGGAATACGACCAAATACCCTCCATGAATACCGAAAAGTCGAATGTGCAGCACAGAATTTGTATCGTCGGTGCTGGAATCACTGGCCTGTTTATTGCTATGATTCTGGACAGCCTGGAAATTCCTGGTCTGGAATACGACATCCTGGAAGCATCAGACAGGACGGGAGGAAGGATCCACTCTCATTACTTCTCCGATGCTCCACACGATTACTATGATTGTGGAGCAATGCGATATCCGGATATCGACATGATGAAGTCGGCTTTCAAGCTTTTCAAGCAGTTGCGTCTTCCGCTGATCCCGTATTTCTTCGACCAAACGAGCGGTTCCGTCAAATGTCCGACCATGCTCAATGATATAACATTGATTGATGGAGATCCACGCGGTTCTGATCCATTCCGTGTTGGTGAGGCAAACGGAGGTTCCGTCCCTGACTCGAATGTTGACGACGTGAACAAACTGCTCAATGGTGTCTATGATCCTTTCAAAGGCGCAATGACGGGAGATTTCGAAACGGGGTTTAAAATTCTCATGGAATATGACAGCTATACCACTCGCGAAATCCTGCAAAATCCGCCCGCTGCCATGGGTGGACTGACAACCTTGAAGCCTCTGGACTTTTTCAGCATCCAATGGCTGGAGACTAACAACACGGGCAGCGGCCTGTTTGATAGGGCATTTGTGGAGTCAGTCATGGACTCCTTCGACTTTGCTGGTTATGGAAAACAGGCTATAAAGTGGTACTGCATAGATGGGGGGTCTTCGCTCCTAACCCAGACCATGGAGAAGACAATAAAGCAACCTGTGCAACATGGGAAACGAGTGAGAGGATACAGCCAGAGTTCAAAAACCAAAGAAATCACTGTTTCCGTTGCTGGGGAGCCCGAAGGAAGCCGTCTTCCTTATACTTCGGTTTTTAATACGACCAGCTTGCCCTGCTTGCAACGGATGGATTTGACCGATCTCAATCTACATCCTAGCCAGAAAGACGCGATCAGAAGTTTGCGCTACGACGACAGCACAAAGGTGGCCATGAAGTTCTCTTATCCATGGTGGATAACGAGATGTGGCATTACAAGCGGCGGCGAGGCCACCACCGACACACCCCTTCGCAAATGCGTGTACCCATCCTACAGTGTTCATGACCCGCAAGATCAACCGGCCGTTCTTATTTGTAGCTACACGTGGTCTCAGGATGCGACGCGCATCGGCAGCCTAATCGCGCGCCATGACGAAGAGCTTCGTGAGCTAATACTCGATTATCTTGCACGGATACATCTAAAGAATTTCCAACAACAACCCCCTACTTCCTACCATGGCCTTACTACTCTTGAAGAGGTCCGCCAGGTCATTAGCGATGCCTACATATCACACCACGCTTGGAGCTGGTCACAGGACCCGTTCACTTCGGGCGCCTTTGCAATGTTTGGGCCTGGTCAGTTCTCGAACTTGTATCCTTATCTTGTACGTCCAGCAGCGGACAGTCGTTTCCACATCTGTGGAGAGGCGAGCAGTGGGCATCATGGGTGGATCAGTGGTAGCTTGGACAGTGCCCTTGCTAGCGTACACCGGTTTTTGAAAAGATTTAATATGTGGGAGAAACAGCAGGAGTTGAATGAATTGTGGGACACACCACCGGAGCTCGAGGACGGCTTCGACGGTACACTACATCTGCAGGTCGCGTTGGGCATGGTTTCGACGAACGATGTGATTCGGCATGCTACAATTGAACCTGCACATGACCAAGACGGAGCTACGCGTGGCTGTGTTGTTTCATAGTATGTGCAAGGCAGATGTAACGCCGATGGTAATTATTTATGCCGATTTGTAACGTCGTTCAACCACAGGATTGATTCACTTCTTAGCTATAGAACTCCCACGTCGGTGTCTGTGTACTTGTAAACCGTATCATTGAGCGAGCACCGAGATTCAATTGCCCGAGAATTCTCGCATATCATAGATCGGGCCTCAAAGACGTTGTAGATGATGACGGTTCCAACGCTTTTGTCTTGCCAGTTGATTGTTGAAGACCGCGGTGGCGATAGTAGTTCTTCAGTCTTCCTATGATGCTGTTAACGTCGGTACCGGCTATGAAATACATACATCTTTTATCGACACACTTCATTACTAGAGCATTCTCAAAGACTTCCCGAGTTTTTCGCATTCAAGACCGTAAGTGTATCCAACGATCGTGTCACGTGTGATATGTGTACACCATTTCCATATAGCGGGATAACAGTCTTCCGTTTCGACTTCTGGCTTCCTGACCCACGTCACAGTGTAATCTTTTCCTTTTGCAGAGTCATTTCACAATTCGTAGCCGCCACTTGTAGCGTGGTGCCGTAACGTCTAGGTAGATGATCAAAACAAGCTCCCATATACATCCCCTCTCACACATGAACAAGATCGATATTTTCCCGTCAAGATGAATAACGTAGTACTTCCACCACTAAAGAGGTTGCCGAGAACTGTATATTTTATAATTGAATTTCCATTACACCACATATCCGTCATCTTGCGTTCCGTGCCTATCTGGAAGCTATCCGTATTAAACGTGTCTCCTCAATTCTTGAGGCGTCATAACGTGGCACGAAAGAGTAGTCTTTCCCTAGAGAGATATTGGAATTAAAAGACGAAACGAGTATGGTTTGTTTCTTATATCCGGAATATTCATGTAGCTGCAACTGTGTTGCCCCAGCAATCAAATTGCAATCTTGGTGTCATTCGGAGACGCTCGGACGACCTCTCCAATAAAACTTTCCTAGGATGGCTTGTTCATGGCTTCCTTCTGTCATCAAAACTTTCCATCGGATAAATCAACATTTGGCCCCTGTAAAGCGTGAAAGATCAATGATTCTGTACGCCCACTGCGCTTTGTGTCACCTTCTTTTCCGCACTCCAGTTACTCCTGCGATCCGAATCGGTTGTAAGCCCTTCATCTGCTGCCATTAAAAAGACAAAATGACCAAGTTTACATTCCAATATTGTAGAGCAGTACAGCTCCTCAGAGAAGGATGTGTTTTGTGCAATATAGGAACAACACATACTAGCTGCAAGTATCAAACCACTTTCCACTTCTCTCTGCAAGGTCTTTACTTCTTCAAGCAGTTTGTGCAGCGCATCTGGTCACACCGCTTTTTGAACGCGTCATCCCCAACACCCATTTCCAAACTTTTATGGCCCGTCGCTATTGTATGAGAATCGATACATACATTGGGACGTGCGTCGGAACCGCACTGAGTAAATCCCGCTTTGGCAAAAAGGCCAAAGGAGACGATCGAGTCAATAGCGGCAGTAGCTTGCTGTCCAAAACCAGATAGAGATCTACACGCGAGAGCCATGAGTCGCAATTCGGCCGAGCCTGATCAATATATTAGTAATAGTGATGGCATTAGTAAGCAAATTATCACCAGTTATCAGCTGATATTACTCATAAAACTCATGAATTACAAGAAAAGCTAAAACTAGGGCGCCTTCTTCGTGGCATAAACTCTATAGGTTACATTCATTGATAAGAACTTCTCATTCAAGCATTATGGCGACGCTGCTATCGGGCTATACCGAGAAGCCTGAATCTTCGCCTGAGTCAGCCACACCTCAGCACCTTGAGTCCACCGAGCCTAAGAACATTCACCAAGTCCTCGAGAAAACAACGAGCAATGTGCTCGCAAAACCTTCGGCCCTGAATGTGGCTGATACTGCATTGGAGACGACCGAGACTGCCCATACGATAGCGTCGAACCCTCGTCACGACGCTAATACCGAACTCAACATCAACTCACATAATGATGAAGCTGATTCATCAGATGCTGATTCATCGCTTCCACCTGTCGACACCGGAAAAGATGCATGGCTGTTCCTTCTGTCGGCATTCATTTTGAATGTTTTAGTTTGGAGTATGTCCTTTAGTAGTCACACTTGCGTGCCCATCGTTGGTGCTAATACTGTCAGGTTTCCCATTCGCCTATGGCATCTTCCAGGAGTACTACTCCTCGCATCCGCCATTCAAGGGCCAGCGAAACATTGCCATTGTGGGTACCTTCGCCTTGGGATTGATGTATCTCTCTTCGCCGTTGGTCTTTAGCCTGCTTGCATGGCGCCCCACGTGGAAAAGGCCTTGTATCCTGGTCGGTCTGATCATCATGTGTTTGTCCATCGCACTCAGCTCTTTGAGCACAAAAGTTGCGCATCTCATCGTGAGTCAGGGTGTGTTCTCGGCGATTGGAGGTGCTTTGTGTTATAGCCCAGCGATCAATTTCATGGATGAGTGGTTTGTGAAGAGAAAAGGCATGGCTTTTGGTATGATGTGGGTAAGTATAAGAGTTTTTGTCTGCCAATTCACAGTCTTGTAGATGATGATCAGCAAAGCTAACATGGACCATAGGCAGGCACTGGTCTTGGCGGTGTCGTAATTCCACTCCTTCTCCAATTCCTACTCAACAAATATGGGTTCCGTACCACTCTCCGCATCTGGGCTGTGTGAGTAAAATACTTGGAGGTTTTGAGGCATCAGAGTCATCGCTAACATGTACTAGGGTCTTGTTTGCCGCGACAGCGCCGCTCTACGTGTTCCTCAAACCGCGTGTGCCCATTTCTCCGGCCACTAATCACCGCGCTTTTAACCTGTCCTTTCTCAAAACCAGAACTTTCTTGCTACACCAACTTGGTAACGTCCTCCAAGGCTTTGGGTACTTTTTACCGGCCCTCTACTTGCCCACATATGCAAAGACTCTGGGCGCATCGAACAGTGTCTCCGCACTCACACTTACCCTGATCAACATCGCCGCAGGCTGCGGATGCATGTGCATGGGCTGGTTTGTGGATCACTGGCATGTCACGACATGCATATCCATAACGACGATAGGATCTACGTTGTCTGTCTTCCTCCTCTGGGGCTTTTCGACACATCTGTCCCTGCTTATGGTTTTCTGCTTCATGTATGGCTTGTTCGCCGGCTGTTATTCAACAACATATTCAGGTGTCATGAAAACGCTCAGCCACAGTCAGCAGGCTGCAGATTCGAGCATGGTATTTTCGGTACTTGTGGCGGGACGCGGTATCGGAAATGTGCTTAGCGGACCCATTAGTCAAGCACTGATCGGAGCGGGTGAAGTAGGGAAGGTAGGTGTGTATGGAAGCGAGTACGGTCCACTTGTCATATTTACGGGCGTCAGTGCCGTATTGGGCGGATTCAGTTGCATTGGAAGAGCGCTCAAATGGTTCTAAGCATGTAGCGGCCGGTACAGCTACTCGCATAAGTTGACGTGATGTCACTTTCATAACGGTGATATCTTTTCGGTCTTTGCTGCAATCTTTGGTCACAGAGGATCTAGCAAGCGGTTGATTAGAAGGAATTAGGAAGAAAGTGACGCGTAAGCGCCTCAGGAGAAATCGATCACGGACCGAAGTCTTTGTTGTTCATGTTCAACCAAAGAACAAAAGGCATGATATAATTATCGGATGGATTGAGAGCCTGGCTAGGGGACCTCCAGGCAAGTAGGAGTGAGTCGCTTGTCCTAGAGAGCACTTGGTGACAAGGTGAACGCATTAATGGGGTAAATTATGGAGATGTTGTTGCAAGATGTGATGTGAATGGTAGCGAGTTAAAAGATCATCATTCAGTAAATCAAATACGACCCGCAACTTACACAGAAGGAGACATACTTCTGAATGTTACTCTTCCGTTTATGCCTTAGCAGTCAGCTTCACACCACAAACATGATGGTGGACTACCGGCTTAGCTTTGGCCAAATTTCGTTCGGCTGGAACGTCCCATAGCCAACTATGCCGCCTAAGTTTTTGCGTTTATGTACTTTTCTGCGTACAGTGTCAGATAAGAGTGAAAGGTGGATGGTACCAGCTTTGCTTTTTGCCCCATTCCGAACCCATTTGGAGGTATTCATAGCATTCGTCTCACAATTTGTGTCTTACGAAAGAGCGTAGGAGATATTTACGTAGATCCTACTGCTGAGTCGTTTGAAATTTCTGTCAATCCTTGAATACGTGAAGACAAGGGTGGTGGAAGCGTTTCCGGATTGCCAATCAGACCTGTCATGAGCAGACTCGCTAAGACTTTGCGCACGTGGACGAATCTATCAGTAGCAAATATATACTTAATCAGCATTCTATGCAATATCTGGCTTGACACTTTGGAGGGTGAGTGCTCCTTTGGGGCGTTTGTTCAACATTCGAGGCATCGTCATCGGACATATCCGCAACCTTGGCCTGAGAGGACCGCTGCGGTCAGTGATTCCGATTCATGATCATGGAGGGTCTTTGCCTGGGCTGGCATGATACCTTTAGATTAGGCTGGGAATGGATTAGTTAAAGACTTGTAGCTGAATGCGATGAAGAAGTGGCAGCGCAGGTCGATAGTCTTCAGTATAATGATATGACGACACAAAACATTAACCTACTGTAAATGACAGATGACAGCTATAAATTGCAGTGCCTGGGCGTTCGAAACGCGTCAGAGCTTGGTTTGATGCGGGTATAAGTAATGGTACCTCTCTATGCTGGTAAAGATAGGGAGCAACATTAGTGCAGCATAGTCTCTCGTCACACTTTTACGCTTGATTAGCTGGATACATTTAATTTTTTCAAAGGAAATATACAGCACTATATATAGCGGCGAATAGCGCGTTCAGTTCACGTTTACATGATATCCAAAGTAAACAACAGCCAAGACCATATATCAGCATGACTAGGTCCTTCGTACTACCAACTGTACGAAAGCACACAAGACCCTCTCTGTTGCACTCAGGTCCGCTTCATGACGACCATGATAGATTTCCGGGTCCTGTCAGTACCTCGCCAATAGTCGACGTTGTCGGCGCTCAGGACTTGCAAAACCCCCTCAGAAGCCAGTCTATCGACCTCGGCCTTGTATCCACCAGAGACCCAGACCTCGTCCACCACGGTGCAGACAATAATGCCACCCTTTTTCGCAATGCGAGCCAATTGTCCCAGGCCCGGAACAGGCCCCACATGTCCCGACGAGAAAGTCCCGCAGCAAGTGACGATATCGTATGACTCGTCTGGTTTTTCGATGCGCTTCGTCATATCTGCAATGGATAGGTCTCTGTAGACGCCGGTTTTTGCTGCGACATCTAGCATACCGCGAGAGAGGTCGATACCGTCGATGGTCTTTGCACCGATTTTCGCGAGTGCGATACCGACCAAGCCGGTGCCACAGCCGGCGTCTAGAATGGCGCCATTAATGTCTCCCAGGAGATCCTTGACAGTTTGAGCAGTCATTTGAGGGCCGACATAGTCCACCCCAGAGTGGTGGACGTCCGTGTCATATGTTGTGGCCCATTCGTCCCAGATGGCAATGGACTCATCCGGCTTTGTCACCGTGTGGATGCGTTCGAGGTATGAGTGTGTTTTCGTTGACTGGAGCATGTTGATGGTTTTGATATAGGTGATAGAAGCGATGTGTGTGGTTAGCTTGGAACGTGTTGGTTACAGGATAGAAAATTCCTTATGTAGAGCTGGTATCGTCCGGTTAGCTACGCTCACGCAACTTTAGAGCTATCAAAAACCTTCTCGTTGAAATTTATTAAAGTGATGAGATGTAAGATGTTTTGGATCTGACTCATGTGTCCTGCATGTTCTGACTAATATGCGAGATGTTGAGTAAGGGAATACCTGTAATACAGGCTGGCAAAGGGGTTCGGGATACCGAGCACTGGCCTTTGGCCGTATTACTATAGTTTTGATTGGTTTTAGTTTGGGCCAAGTCAGAGTTGCATGCCTGGATTAGTGGAGCAGGTCTTCCAGTTCTTGACAGTAAATGCCTCTGCAGTAACTCTAGAGACTAACCCTTCTGCTTGTCTTATCTCAATCTTGTAATATCCTAATATGAGTAATTGGCAATTTCAACAAGCAAACGGAGGTTAGGTTGTGAAAACAACGATACCTCTATCAAAATATTGCCATGTTGCGTTACGACTAGATAGAAACAGATTGCGTGATTACAAAAAGATGGGCCACAACAGTGATGAACCACAACGTCAGGTATTAATTCAATAATAAATTCATAATTTTTAGCCTCAATTTGTTTGAGTCAGGACGTGGTTCCTTGCAATGGACCGTCCGGCGCGTTGGTATGTAATACACAGCTGGTTGAGGGGCATCGTACGTTAGAGAGTATGATTAGTAGCAGAAATTCCATCTTCTCTTCCGGCACAAACAGCAATCAACATCTCAATTCTATTCAAGCATAGTTCAAAATTCAGTGGTACAGACGTTTCCCATATTCTTTGAGATTGAAAATTGCTCTATCATTCAATCGTAAACCCTTCCAGATTGCTCGTCTCTATCCACTTGTTGATTTGCTCCGTGTATTCCAAGATCCCCCCGGAGAACGGTGCATAGCGCAGTTCAGCATCAGTGTCTTTTGTCCCCTTCAAGGCTCTTGCTGTAGCATTCTCACCCGCAATGTAGCCAGGCGTGCACGTACGAACGAGTTTGTAGAACATAGAACGGGCCTCGCACATATCCGTCCACTTGTCCTCGGCTTCCTTGTCAGCCTCCACAATCACCTTGTCGGGATTCTTAGCCTGCTGCAATGCCTTTGTTATAACATGCGCGCGCAGATTTCCAGTCATGTAGAACAGCGAGCTGCTGTTAGTGCTGATGGAAGAGCCCGACACACTGCAGAAAAATAGGTTGGGGAAATCATGCGTGGCGATGCCGAACAGCGTGCCAAAGTCTTTCCCGGACCATTTGCTGGTGAAAGAGCGGCCGTTGCGGCCCGTTACGGAAACGTCTAAAGACTCCATTGGGCTCCTGAAGCTGTGAAGAGTAGAGCTGAATCCTGTGGCAAGAACAAGGCAGTCAAGCTCGTACTCTTCGCCGTTGGCGACAACGGCTTTGTCTGTGTACGAAGTGACGCCCTCGGGAGTGTACACTAGCGTGACATTATCGCGGTTAAATGTCTGCAGGTAGGTGTTGTGGAAAGTAGGACGTTTGCACCAGCCGGGATACCAAGGCGTCAGTTTTTCCGCTGTTTCTGGATTCCGCACTTCCTTCGCAATGTGTGCACGCACTTTCTCAGCCAGGACTACATCCACCTTCATCATCTCGTCAAAGATTTGCTCAAAATTTTCTTCGGTAACGACGACCCGCCTCCCACTGGCGCCTGAGAAGCCGCGCGTGTGAGTCCAGCCATCATTGACTAGATCTACCTCTGCACAGTCGTTCGTCAGGAACCTGTTGTAATTCTCGGATCTCTCGTATTGCCACCCTGGTTTGCATGCGACCTTGGCCCAAGATTCCGGCGTCGTCTGGGAGTCAGGGCGTGGTCCACAATACGAGGGCGTCCGCTGAAAGACGTAAAGATGCTTGGCCCACTTTGCCAGCTCAGGAATGACACCAACACCAGTTGCACCGGTGCCAATGATTCCAACTCTTTTTTCTTTTAGGTGCACAAGCTCCTGGTTGTACTCGTTACCGCCAGTGTAGTTGTAGTCCCAACGTGCAGTGTGAAAGACCTTTACATTCTTCTTGAATCCCTCGAATCCAGGCATGGCCGGAGCCTTGGGCGCGATAAACCAGCCACCGCAGGGAAGAAAGAACTGACATCTAACAGTCAGCTGCTCAGGCTGCTTGTTTGGACCGAGCTGTTGCGTAAGCCTAACAACCCATCTTGCAGCATCTTCATCCCAGTCTGCACTCTCAATGCGGGAGCAGAACATGCCTCGGAGGCCGAACTGGGCAGCGATACGCTCATTCTGCTCACGAATCTCATGGCCACAAGAATATTTTTGTCGGGGCATGTATCCAGTCTCTTCCAGCAGGGGCAGGTAGATGTATCCCTCGACATCGCAGGTCAGCCCTGGATACCGATTCCAATACCATGTGCCACCAAAACCCCCCGCCATATCTACCAGACACATGTCTTCTGGTTTGATGCCTCGCTGAATCAGATGGTAGGCGAAGAAGACTGCGTTGTGTCCAGCACCGCCAAAGAGAAACTTGACCTCGCAGCCGTCTTTGAGCGGTTGCTCTTTACTCGCGAGGGCTTCGTAGTCGGCGAACAAGTCATGGCCGAGATCTTCAAGGCCTGGTTGGCGGATATCATTGTATTTGCCGATTGTTGACGATGCAAGGCACTTGTCACGTTCCTCGGCATATTTTTGCTGAACCGATTGATAGGAGGGCATTCTGTGCAGCAATAACACAAAGAAAAGGCGAAAATTAAGTAAATAAGTTCACAGAGGGCGATCAAAGTGTTGGTGTACAGCAGTAGCGCTAAGGCGTGGTATTTATCTCATCCGGACATACGCGGTACTTCGTCGGGCAGCAGCCGCATTGATTTTGGAATTTCGGTTTCTTGCAGCTTCCCCATTCGAGGTCAACAGGTTATCATGGCTTGATATTCAACATGACATTGGTTAGGTAGTAAGGTCGACACGGCTCGGGACGGCAGTTGCTCTCAGATGCATAGCTTCTTAGATCATATTCTTGCTAAGCATTTATATCCTCTACCTATACTAGTCATGTACTCTAAATTTAAAAACGCTATTCACATCTGGGAAGGCATGCAAAATATCCAATACGACAGCATACTCAAAGACACCTTCCTTACACCTCGCGGTAGCGTCCAACTGACCCACCAACACCCGCAACATATTAATCACCTAGACACCAATTCCCCAGTAATCCCTCTCAACCACTGCATTCCCCTACGCATGACTGACCCACCCAGCGCCTCTAGCCACATCTGAATACGACGCGGCACCACAAATCCCCACAGTGACTTAGTAAGACCCGCGACGCGGCTTTAGTCAGAATGCTACAGTGGACAACGCAGACACAACTCGAACATAGTCATTCCCCCATCCGAAAGCTGCTGCTTACACACAAATGTCCCCCTCTAACTTCCATGCTGTCATTTCGCACATGCCGCTGCCATCATCCCATGTCTACACTGACGCATGGACTGTCTGCATAAGGGGTCTCTGACTAACGAATCCCTCGCTTAGTACTACATGCTATGTAGTCATCCGCGCAGTGCAAATGCGTTTGCAATGCACCTTAGCAAAAGTGGGGGGGGCCCGCAGGCTGGGAAAACAGCAGGCGGGGCAGCTATCTGTGCCTGGATAATGTTCTTATTGGTATATGTTTCAGCTTGTTTCTGCGGACTGAAGAGAATATGCATACTTGTGGCCTTCTATGTACGTTTGAATCCAAGCTTTCTTACGCATGCCCATTCTTTTATTTTCCACCCTTGGCACCGTCGTTGAAGATATCCCTCCTATCGGCCGTCCGGCTTAAACCCTTGGTTTTTTTTCTCCTCTCTTCAAGTATCGTTCAGTGGCTCGTGGAGCTATCCCACGCTTTGCTGCCCAAACATGGTAGCTCTCTTCTCGCTGTTGGATCTAGATACCGATGCTTTTTCCGGTATATGCGGGTACGTTGATTTCGAACACTTACTTTAGTGGTGCAGGACTACTTGGACGCCTCTATTCCCATCATGACCTGATATTATATCATCATCTGCAGTAGGCTAATCGCTTTTTCGATTGAGCAGAACCATCTCCATCGTAGCCTGGATAGTCGTCTTCAGTCCCCAGATCTACAAGAATTTCCAGCGCGGCTCCTCGGATGGCTTGTCGCTGCAGTTCCTCGCTGTGTGGCTGCTAGGCGACATATTCAATGTTGTCGGCGCTGTGCTTCAGGGGGTTCGGCCGACCATGATCATACTGGCTATATACTTTACCGTGGCCGATGTGGTGTTGCTGGCTCAGTGTCTCTTCTACAGCGGTTTTACATGGAAGAGAGATGACGCTGTGTCTCCTATGCGGGGGACAGAGGAAATAGAGTATTCGGACGAGAGAACGACATTGCTGCATGGGTCTATGGTAGCTAATGAGAGGCAAGGTCCTGACAACAGCAGCAGTAGCAGCAACGAGACTTGTGTGTTCAAAGGGCCTGCAGACTCCCCTACACATAACTGCCTACACACTCATGTCAAAAACATGGTCATCGTCATCTTGGTTTGTGCAACAGGCATGGTGAGCTGGTATCTCAGCCACCAGTCTCCCAGCCACGGGGACGCCGCCCCCGTTCAAGAGATTCCCTCGGTCGACGTTTTGGGCCAAGTCTTCGGCTGGCTCTGCGCATTCCTTTACTTATGTTCGCGCTTCCCGCAACTGATTCTCAACTGGCGGCGCAAGTCTGTGGAAGGGCTATCAGGATTATTCTTCCTCTTCGCGTGCTTGGGAAATTCCATGTATGTCTTGTCGATTCTCGCATTCGACTCGACCTCGGCTGTGTCCAACAGCTGTCTTGGGGCGTCGTGCGAAGCACGGGACATCTACGGTAGACATATACTGGTTAACCTTCCGTGGCTGGTGGATGGTCTGGGCACGTTACTCCTTGACGGGGCGATTTTCGCGCAATTTTTGCTTTACGGGGAAATCAAGCCTATGCGTGATGAGGTCTAGGTTCAGATAGTAGTTAGAAAAAGAAAAGCATTGGTTTAAAGTTTGGACGGCTACTAGAGATTTTTTGTCATGTTCATGCCCGGGTTGCGAGATGCACCAAGGAGTGCGACAGTGTGCAGTTCAGACATAGAGCTCTCTGCCTAGCAAAATTACAAATACATAAGTCCGAGAAGACGAATCTACTCTATTGTATCAAGTCTTGGAATAACATCCAAAAATCACTATAACAAGAAACACCCCTAATTCCACGTCTCGAGTTGCGCTAATTATCCCTGGTCAGCCTTATACGAGCTGAGATAGGATTGACAAAACTTGACCTATATGTTCTAGTCAGCTGACAAACTCGTACGGCTATAAGCATTTAGAAGCTTTATAAGTTAGTGTTAAATAAGGCCAGTAAAAGAAGCTGCTTGATATCCTTGTTACTCTCTTCCCTCCATCCATCCACTTCCTCGAGTCCCCACAGTTCTTACCACACACACACACACAAACGTCGATCCAATAGCAAAGCATGTACATGCCTTCGATCCGCACAATAGCAGTCTGCGCCGCCCTCTGGGTATCAGTGGTCAGAGCTGATTGTAAGCACTCCCTCTCTCGTCAGGCCCCAAATTTTTCTCTTTTCTTCCTTCAACACGTACCTACACAGTGCAAGTGCTAACACGGAAAACCTCCAGGTATGGGTCCATGCATCGAAAGCTGCGCCACTGCGGGATATGAAAACTGCCATGCCCAGTGCGAGACGTTGTGTTTCCACAAGGGGGGAGAGTGAGGAGCTTTGAGGCGGGCTGGGTCTCGCATTCACGCATGCGTACTTGGATGCTTGGGTTCTCGCGAACGCTGCACGGGAGACGAGATAGTCGTGCGGGTTTGGTTGAGGGAGCAAGAAGGGTGTTTTTTTGTTTCTGGGTTGTTTGGCTGGGGAGTGGCATTGTTTTACTTTGGTTTGTATGCGCTTGATGTAAGTAAGCGGAATAGATACAAGTAACCTACATAGCAAGCACTTGTAAGAACTACAAATCTCTTCCACTACCATCCTACATCTCTAAACACACTCACTCCCCTCCCTATCCCATCCTGTCCTATCCCATCCCAAACATCCAATATCCCCAAAATCCACACCCATCTCCGTCAAGTTAATCACACCCATCCTCCTCAAGTCAGTCTCAGCAGCACCCGTCGTATCAGTCCTACTAGTCCCCTATATTCGCAAGATCCCTGCACAAGCACCCATATACCTACACACACACACATGATACCTACTAGTGGCAAAGTTAATTTATTTGCCACCCTTCACATGATGGTGCACATGGTCGATCTGGAAAGACATGAGTAGGCCATGCGTCGAAAAGGGAATGGAAAATAAATGCTTTGGTATGGCAACTGTTGGGTTTTCGGATACATGGCGTGGGAGAGAAGAGAAAAAAAAGCCATCATCTTGAGGCTTTGTAGTACGGTGTACATGTTGTGGTTGAAAAGGCTATATTAGTAAGAGTATATAGTACATGGCAGAGTGGCGGTGAAATGAAACGGATGGAACGGGTGGACGGCATTGCCACACGGAGACTTTGTTTTATGCACGTCGGAGGATCGGATATAAGGGCGGGAGTGCCAGGTATGCAACATGGATTTAGGAACTGGGGGAAAAGAAAGTTGGTTGGCAGCCATAGCCATGCAGGGACTCAGCATGTGGGTCCATTTCCGTAGATTGGTGTTTGATTTTGGTCATGAACAGCATTGGCGTTGCAGAAATCAAATGTAGTCTTCCTAAAGAAGCGTTTCCAAAAAGAACATGACACCCCCCCCCCAACTCCAATACACCGAGAAAGCCAGTCAAATTGGTCAGAGGCTGCAGCTCAGTTTCTCAACGCTCGCAGCCGCTCTGTAAAGGCTTCTTCCTCCTGCTCCGTAGGACCTACCTTTGTCTTGGCCGGTGTGGCGGCTTGTAGGTCCTGCTGCAAGTCGACGCCAGCCTTGTCTGCTGCCTGGGCCATGAGGCGATCGACGTCTTCCTGTGGGGTGCCGACGGCGGTGGCCGACGAGGTGATGTCCTGGTAGAGTTCGGTAGCGGAGTCTACGTTTTCGAATTGTTTCTCGAAATCCACCATGACGGCGGCAATCTGCAGTAGGGTTAGCATAGGCTGGGGAAGCAGGGGGCGCGAGTGCTTGGGTACCCGTTCGGGACTCATCGACTTCATGGCCACGTCTAGACTCCGGTTGACCTTCATCATGTTGCCCGTGATTTGGCGCATCGTGACTGCTGTCTGAACGCGGCCAGCGACGGCGTCGACGCGCGAGGCGAGTTGCAGGAGGTTGAGCTTCTCGTTTTGTTTGCGGATGGCGTTTCCAGCGTAGATGCGGGCGATGTCGTTGTGGCCCTGCTTCATGGCCTGGAGGGAGTCAGTCTACAGGGTCTCGGAAGCGAGTCGTGGTGTTGTTGTAGGGGTGCGCGCGCCTTTTCCAGCTTCGTCTTCTCCGCCTGCTCCTCCTTGCCGGCCTTGAGGGCCTGGCGGTTCAGCGACTTGGCGGTAAACTAGTGGTGCCTGTCAGCAGTGGGCGTGGCAGCAGTCGCAGGAGGGGGTGGCGGCGGACCTTGAGGTTGAAGAGGGCATTTTCGAGTCCGGACATGGCTGTAGGTGCAGGATGGTAGCGGGGTGTCGCGGTGTGGGAAGGGTAGTGGTTGGGGGAGATGGGGCAGATGTGTAGGTGGGATGCGGCTACTTGCCAGGGCTACGCGGGGTTTGGCGGCGGCCCACGCGCCTCGACGTCATTGGCCGCGAAATGCTCGCGCGTGCCTGGCCTTGCTGGCGCGCATTTCACGAGCAGCAGTAGCAGTAGCAAAAAGTCCATGCACGGTGCATCAGAGTCAGCCTACAAGTAGATTGGTGACGGCGGCGCAGGCGGATAGCCACCGAGTCACGCTGGCAAAAAAAGAACGCCTAGCCTTATGCTGCAAAACATGGGCGGCCCGGGACACGCTGAATGCCTTCAGGGTTCCAGCCTGGTCTAAACCCCCCCACAAAAAAAAACGCCTTGCCTGCATGCCGCCATGCCCACCCAAACGCCGTACGCCCGAGCGTGTTATTCGTACAAATGGAGCGTGCAACAAAAGCCGGGCAATCATTGCGGGGGCGCGTTGAACTTGCTCGTGGCCGTCTTGAAGAGCTCCTCCTGGGCAGCAATGAGCTGCTCCTCGGTCATGCCGCTCTGCTCAATCTTGGTTTGCTTCTTCTCGCGGTTCTGCGGCACGTTAGCTGCGAGGGCGCGTGGGGTTGCGCCATGCCAAAGCCTACCTGCTGCTGCTTCTTGTAGTCGTGGGCCACCTCGAGAATGGCGGGCACGTAGTCGCCAAAGTCGAGCTCCTCGAGGGCGGCCTTGACGTGCTCGCAGGCTATCGTCTTCTTGGCGTCCTTTTCGGCAATCTCGTTGGCCTCGGAGGAGATGAGGGTGATGAACTCGACGCAGCATTCAATGAGCAGGTCGCGCGAGTCTTTGGCAAACGTCATGCCGGGCTCGCTGGCGAGGATGTCTTGGACAATCTTTTGCACCGTGGCTGGGCGGCGCGCGTTAGCACAGGGCTGGGCGGGCGTGTCTGCGGGCGGGCTCAGCACTCACCCTTTGGCAGCGACAGGTCGTCGTTGCCGCCAAACTCGCGGTCGGACATGGTCGAGGGGTGCGCCGAGGGGGGGGGGCTCTGGGGGTGGTGTGGCTTTGGGCTCGTGGTCGAGCGGCGCGCGGGTGCGGTGCAGGTGTCTGGGTTAAGAAATGCCATGGGCCTGCACGGGCCGGCTGTTTGGCCGAGGGGGATTGGCTCGAGCGTCTGTCGCCATGCAAGCTGCGCAGCACGTGTGACTACCACTGCCACTGCCACTACCGCTACCGCTACCGCTACCGCTACCACGACAGCTCGTCGGACCACATGACCTGGACTCACAAAGTCTACGGTGCAGCTCCACGACACGGACGGCGGCGCGGTGCAGGGCGGCGGCGGGCGGGCTCGAGTCAGGGTTGACGTGCAATGACGACGGGCATGCGCGGGCTCGTATCGTTTATCAGGGCGCATAGCCATAGGGGTTGCATTGCAGGAGCGGGTGGATCGCTGCGCCTTTTCTTCAGACAGCAGGGCGGGAGCTTGAAGCAGCGGCTGGCTTGAGCAGCAAACATGAAGGCAAAGGCATTCGGGCTCCACCGGGAGCGGGCGTGGCGGGACCGTGATTCGCCTTGTCGCGACCGGGTAGCCAGGGACTGCAATGCTGATGTGCTCCCACTGCCACTGCGCTTGGATTGTGCTTGGGCCACGGCGGGCAGACAAGTGGAGAGCAAGACGTCAGCGGGCTGCAGCCGCTTGGCGCACGCACGCACGCGTGGGAATGGCAGTCGCAGTCGTGGTAATCGGGGTGTTAGCGGTAGCGTAGTCGTATCGTAGTGCGGCTTTGGCTCGTCCGCTCGCGCTCGCCCTCATGCTGCTCGCCGAGACAGGCAGACAGGTGACAGTGGCGGTGAAAGGGCGACATGGCGACATGGCAGATGCTGCTGCGTCTGCGTCTTCTTCTTCTTCTGCTGCTGCTGCTGCTGCTGCTGCTGCCGTGGTGCCATGGGATGCAGTGCGGAGGCCCGTCGCCACCCACCCCTCCAGGCGCGCCTCTGCCCTCGCCGTGTGCCACCCAGCGCGCGAGTGAAGGAATGCAATAGTCGTGACTGGCTGGCTCCCCCGTCGCTGACCGGAACGAGTCAATAATCGACGGCCAGAGCCACCACGCTCGATAGATACAAGCAGCCGTGAGATAATACATGCTACTACACTAGACTCGACTTCTGCAACAGCGCCCCGTCTCCGTCGTCGGCGGCGCCTGTCCTCCTGCTGCTACTGCTGCTGCTGCTGCTGCTGCCTCTTTTGCCCTCCTCTCCCTCCCTCTCCCTCCCTCTCCCTCTCCCTCTCCCTCTCCCTCTCTCTCTCTCTCTGTCCACACCATCTGCTGCCCGCTGTTCGCTGTCCGCTCCCCGCTGGCCGCTCTCCGTTATTACTCGCCCTAATCTGCAATCTGCAGTCTGCAATCTGCAACGCCGCCGCCGCCGCCCCCCCCAACACAACCCGCCGACGCTCGCCCATCGCTACGCCTGCCATGCCGGCTCTGCCTGCGACGACAACACGCTAAACGCCCACTCGCCCCCGTGTTGATGCTGCAGGCTGCCTCTGCCAACTGTACCCGAATCCACACCCCCCAGGCCTCTTCCCAAGGTACACGTCTGCCCACAAGTACCGCGCCCTACACACCGCCGCGTGGCTCGCGCCTGCACAAACTCGGACTGCTTGCCCCGTTATAGTCCTAGGACAGAGTTTTCCGCGCCCTCGTTGCAACACGCTTGTTTAGGGCCAAGGCCGCTCGGAGCAGCGAGCCAGGTTCCCAATTGATTATTATGACTTCACGCCCGCCTGCGCTCCCGCCTCCCTCGTCCGCCTCTGCCTCTGCCTCGCTCTCAGCCTCCCCCGCCAGCGACTCGTTTGCCTACAGCAGCAGCCCCAATCCCAACGCCCTCAGCCTCAGCCTCAGCCTCCGCGACGACTCGCCCAGGACTCGCCCCAAGAGCCCCGCCGTCGATGCCCTCCAACAGCACCGGCCCGCACTAGTCTCTCGCGCCTCCGACTCTTCCTCCAAGACGCTCCAACCCCGCCATCACATCCGCAACAAGTCGAGCAGCCTCGTTCCCACGCTTTCCACGCTCAACGTCGGCACCGCTCCCAAGCCCCGCCAATCGCCCACCATGGCCTCGTCGCACACTGGCGCCACGTCCTCTGGCGCTGCCGACCTGCTCAGGCAGGCCATGACCCGGTAAGCACGCGCCCCCGTTGTCCTGTCCTGCCCCGTCCTGCTGCCCGTCCTGCTGCCCGTCCTGCTGCCCTGCCTACCCTGTCCTGCCCTGCCCTGCCCTGCCCTGCCCCGTCCTGTCCCGTCGCCGCCCAGCCCGCACATGTGTACTATGGTCCGGCAAACAAAGTCGTTGGGCCTGCGACGCCCATGTCCACGCCTCGGCGGGGCCCGCGGCGACTTGTCCCCATCGCTTAGCCAGCCTGGCATTTGATGTGGTCATATGCAAGCCGCCCCAGAGTCCCTGACCAACGTTGCACACTATTTCTTCGCCGCAGCGCCCAGCGGCTCGTGCCTACTACACACATACACCAACCCTCTCCGCACCTCACACCACCACTACCACATCCTTCGCCGCCGCCGCCGCCACCCACCCATCCCCATCCCCATCCTGCTGCCCGTTCAACACGCACTCACCGCCCCTCTCGCCCCTTTTGTTGCTCGCTCGCTCGCTCGCTCGCTTGACCATGCCGTCATCCTCGTTGCTGACTCCGCATAGAGCTACCAACGACAATAGCAACAACGACGACGGACAAGACCAGATCGGCTCCACCAGCTCCACGCCACCCGGAGCCACGACGCCAAAGCCTGATCCGACGGATAAGCGACTGCCGGGTATTCTGCACAGTTACTTTGGCCAGGTTCGTGATTCTCTTATGCCCTCGCGGAAGTCGTTGTCTGCGGCCAGCCCCTCCCCCGCACCAGTTGCTTCTTCTGCGCAGAGCCACGTCGAGCCTGCGCCTGCACTTGCACCTGCACCGTCGGATCTCCCAGAGAAGGAGCAACAAGAGTCATCTACCCATCCCAAGATGCTGCCTAGCCCCACTCCCAGTGCATCTTCCCGAACTCTTTCAACCTCGCAGTTGGCTGGTGAAGCGGAGAAGCTAACGCAAGGCGATTATGCGCCGTTGCAACAGGCAACACCTCCTCAGACGCCCCGCACACGCTCGCAAGAAACAAAGCCACAGCCATCGAACCTGTCGCGGACCTCCAATGCATCAGACCAGTCCAAGGAAAGCAAGACGGCCCCCGTCGTCGCCCCAAAGGGCAAGCTTGCCGTCACAATCTCCGAGGGAAGGGGCTTGGTGCCCAGCGTAGACCCGTATGTCGTCTGCCAGTTCCAATGGGCCGAGTACATTTCAGACGGCCCTAGGCACGACGAGTCCAAAAAGGGCCGCCCGCCCATCCAGATGAAGCGAACAGAAAGTCAGATGAACCACCCAATGGCCATCCCAATGAAGAGCAGGCAAAGCAGCAACAGTGGCCACAGCTCCGACCCCCGCGAGAATTCGTCGCTCGAGGAAGTCACCTGCCCCAAGTGGGAGCATGAAGCCATCTTGTAAGCCTAGCTCGTTGGCATTTGCATAAACAGTAAAGCTGACCAGCCCCAGTGATGTTGTTGGTGACCATGCCGAGGTCGATGTCTCCGTCTACGACCGTGCCAACGGCGAGGCTTTCCTTGGCCACGTCCGCTTCTGCCCTAATCTTGTCGAATACAGCGAGCCTTATGATGGCTGGTTTCCACTCGAGCCTCGAGAGGGCGAAGGAGGTGTTGTCACGGGAGACATCCACTTGAAGCTCAACTTCCAAAAGGTGGAAAAGAAGCACTATGGTCCCGAAGACTTTGAAATTCTCAAGCTCATCGGAAAGGGCACATTCGGCCAGGTCTTCCAGGTTCGCAAGCGAGACACTCGCCGAATCTACGCCATGAAGGTCCTATCGAAGAAGGTGATTGTCCAGAAGAAGGAGGTGGCGCACACACTTGGAGAACGCAACATTCTCGTCCGGACAGCCATGGCTGACTCGGCCTTTATTGTTGGGCTCAAGTTCTCGTTCCAAACCCCCTCGGATCTGTACTTTGTAACAGACTACATGTCTGGAGGCGAACTTTTCTGGCACCTCCAGAGAGAGGGTCGTTTCCAGGAGGCACGTGCCAAGTTCTACATTGCAGAGCTCATCCTCGCACTGCAACATTTGCACGAGCACAACATTGTCTACCGCGACCTGAAGCCCGAGAACATTCTTCTCGATGCAAACGGCCACATTGCCCTGTGCGACTTTGGCCTGTCCAAGGCCAATCTTACCGAGAATGCCACAACAAACACCTTCTGTGGCACAACCGAGTACCTTGCTCCCGAGGTGCTTTTGGACGAGCACGGCTACACAAAGATGGTCGACTTTTGGTCTCTCGGTGTGCTAGTGTTTGAAATGTGCTGCGGCTGGAGTCCCTTCTACGCAGAGGACACCCAGCAAATGTACAAGAACATTGCGTTTGGAAAGGTCAGGTTCCCTCGGGACGCCCTCAGCACCGAAGGTAGGAATTTCGTCAAGGGACTTCTCAACAGGAACCCCAAGCACAGGCTCGGTGCTACACGCGATGCCGAGGAGTTGAAGGACCACCCCTTCTTCGCCGATATCGACTGGGATGCGCTGAGCAAGAAGAACGTGGTGCCGCCATTCAAGCCCAAGCTCAAGGGAGAGCTGGATGTGTCCAACTTTGACCCCGAGTTTACCAATGCTCTCAATGGCGCTGGCTCGTTGAACGCACGGGCTGCTGCTCTGGCATCCGGCGTCAATTCGGCATCCACACCTCTTTCGCCCACAATGCAAGCAAACTTTGCAGGCTTCACCTTCACCGACCAGAGTACAATGGAGCAACAATTTGGCCATGACAGACACAGAAGCGACGGCATGGAACGCATGGACGAAGACGACACGGATGACGTCAACTGGGACAGACCGGCCGGCCGCGGCGATAGGATGTCCGGCATTGTTTCGAACAACGAACACGACGTGTTCAATCACGGCCAGTTTGACGTCTGATGAACGTCACGCCAAACCACAACGCGCCCCTTCCTTTACCTCAGGATTCCTCGACAACGTTTCGTTACCATGACCCGGCAAAAGTTTCTGCTTTGTTGCAACCATATTCAGTACATGGAGGTGTTGTTGCTACGAGCCTCTTCTTGGATACCCTGAGCCTATTTCTCACAAAGACGTGGACCCTGCTTATAAGCCTTTGACTAATACGGCCCCATCAATCGCTGCTGTCACCAATACGAAGTGGGGCTACAAAGGTGCAGCTTACCTAGCCCCACACATCCTTTGGAGGATGATAGCAAGGGTCTGGTCATGTCCACTACATGATACATCACGATTACAAGATTTTCCAGAATGACTTGATAGGTACTGAGAGCCACAGCCCGACAGTACGCACACCATCTTTTTGTTTGTCGGGTATGGGTTTGCATTGCGCTGGTGCATTGCTTTCGCTTTTTTTTCGATTGTGTTTGTCGGAGTTTTAATGGTATTCTGTCTAGTTAAGCCTACGTGCGTGATTCCGTTTTTTTTTCTGTACTTTGATTTGGTATGTTCACGCTGCGTTTTATCGTGCACTCAACATGCTTACCTACTTACATCCTTTTTTTTTCTTTCTTTCTGCATGTTATTTTTTTTTGTTCACGATTTGGCGACAAACAAAACATATGGTCGTGGGAAAAGGTGGGAAATGGGGCCAGGGGGGGTGGATATCGGCTAAGCTCGCTTTGTATATTTGTGACTAAAAATGCAAACTATATGTATCTATGACATTATTTCCATGTGTGCAGGCTGCAGGTGATTTTTCTCCACTCTCTTCTCCGATGCGCAACATGACAAAATATCAGCATGCATTTTTTTTATATAAGTAGATTTTTGCACATTGGCACGGCTCCCTCTTTTTATTCTAGCTTTCCAATGACTGCTAACCTAACCTATCCTTCCTTGCTCTTCACAAGTTGCAAAAAGCTTATTACTCTGAAATTTTAATGTATGACTCAAGACAACTTGGGCAAAACACCCCCCCCTCTACCCCTCCTCCTCCTCCTCCTCCTCCTCCCGTCCCGTCCCATCCCTTGCCTTGCCTTGCCCACCCCTCCTCACTTTTTTTTTTCTTATCGCCCGCTTTTTTTTCGCCGAATCCGTCGACTCGACTCGATTTGAAATTTTTACATTATATTACATGACATGACATGACATTACATTAGATATATGGAACTGAGGAGGGGGGAGGAGGAGGATACAGGGTAAACCCCGCGGCTTACTGTATTGCGCGGGATAATGCCCGAGGGTGAGTGTATGTATGTATGTAAGTACTTGAAAGCTGGGGCTGAGAGATGGATTGTGGATTGTGGTGTGCATGTACATGTGCATGTGTATGTGTATGTGTATGTGTACTTGATGTGTGCCTTGGTTATGGGGCATCTATCTTCTTTGTCGTTGGTCGTTGTTGTTGTTGTTGGTAGTGCTGCTGCTGCTGCTGCCAAAAAAAGAAAAGAAAGAAAAAAAAACTCGTAAGCACTACAAGTACGTACGTTAGTAGAATAATAAAAGTCCCAATAAAGCATATACCAGTATGGGAAGTAACGAGATTCCATTCCATTCCATTCCAAAACCATGTCACTCACATGCTACAAACATGTGAAATTGGCTAGGTAGGTGGCCTTCTAAAGGTGTGGCATTATACTCTCTTTTACTATATTTACTGACTTGAATACGTACTGGGTACATGGCAAGGCAAGAGCGAGGAGATTGTAGGTACATAATTCACCACGTTTGCATATCTATGCGCGTTTGTATATATATATATATATAGCTAGTATGTACATACATACTCACACATTCAAGCTCGATACTCCTACCTACTTACTTAGTTACTTACTTACTCACTTCGTTTGCATCCAAGGTACAATGCAGAGTGTATTCAGCAGAGATGTCAACAATCAAGCTCATCAAGCCGAGCTAACGCGATATAGTAATGATTAGGCCTAAAAAAGCTAGCCTATTACTGTATCAAGTTAGCTCGGCTTGATGAGCTTGATTGTTGACATCTCTGGTATTCAGAGTTGGTTAGTTAGTTATGTACTTAGTTACTTACTTGCCTGTCCAACTGTTACTTGATTAGCTGTAGGGTGTTGGTCGGTGCTAGCTATCTGTGTAGAGGGTGCAGTTTATGCGCTGGATTGCAAAGGGTTGTGTGATGATGCATGGGGAAGCTGGGATGTGTATGCATGGATGTATAGAGAGCGATGCTAGTGAGGGTGTGTCCTGAGGAGAAGGAGACGGAGAAGAGGAGTAAGGGGCTTGGTAGGAGGGGTTTGTTTAAGATTGAGTGAGTGAGCGAATCCGCTTGGTTCCTTATTCGTCTTATTAGATGGTAGGCTTGCATGTAGGCTACTTACAGCGTATATGCGTGTGATGCGCAATGCGGGATAGTGATGGATTGGTGTCTGTGCTAGAGTTGGGTAGGTAGATATATAGTTGTAGTATCACCTTTTTCCATTCTTTGGAAAAGAATCCTACTTGCTTGTTTCTTACGACAACACCGAGGATGTCGACACATTAGTTAATCTGCTCGAGTTCTTTACCCGTTGCATTGTGTATGATAGAATACCTCGTTCTGCTTGCGTTCAGTCAACGATCAAAAATATGAGATGAATAGAAGACTTGTCTTTATATGAGCAAATTCATGATAGCTCAATAATGTTTACATGTTATATACACATAGACCTACAACTTGGCTTTGTCCTGGCGCTCCTCACACTTGACCAGCGCCCGGCCATTGGTAAGCACCGTCTTGCCGCCGTCCACACGCACAATAAACCGCATCTCGTCGAATCCCTGGCTGTCCTTGTTGCCCATCTTCCACATGTCGAAAATAAGCTTGTCACCCGGCTTGACCGGTGCCGCAAATCGCGCCTGGAACTCCTTGAGATTCTCGGGCTTGCTAGCGCCAAACGCCTTGAGCACGGCGTGCGCAGCCATGTTCCAGGAGAACAAACCGTGGATAATGGTGCCGCCGAAGCCCATTTTCTTGCCGGGCTCAGGGTCTGCATGAAGCGGGTTGTAGTCGCCGTTGAGGCGGTACAAATGGGCGGTTTCCAGCGTGGTCTGGAAGGTGTGCGTTTGGTCGGGCTTGCGTGAGGGAGGCGGGTAGCTGGGAACCTTGGGGCCTGCGACACGTCCTTTTGTTAGCATTCACACGGAAGAATATAGCGTTTTTCATGGTTGGTGCATACCCTTTGGACCGCCCCATCCTCCTTGTCCGACGTAAAAGCCGCTGCCAACACTCCTGGTGTATGTCTCTCCGCTCTCAACGTCGATAAGGCAGTGCTCTGACTCGACAACGGTACCGGGCTTGCCCTTGTCGTACACGCCCAACACTTTGCTCCTGACTTCAAACTTGCGGCCCTTGCTTGTTACGGGTAGTGGCTTGAGAAATTCCGTTTTGCGCTCGCCGTCGACAACATGCGTGGTGTCGAACTTGGGGACGCCCTCAATTGGCGTCGCGTTGCTGCGCGCGTAGAAATCAATGACCTCCTGGTCGGTATGCTTGAACGGAAGGATAGCGGCGTAGGTGGGGAATACGGCAAAAGAGGGATGCAGTTCCTGGATGTTGCGGTTAGAAGCTGTTCATCTCACATGGACAAACCATGGTCGCACAACGTAGACGCTGGCTAATCGTGCCGCATGACATGGAGAGACATGGACTTACATAGAGGAAATGCAACTCATCTGGATATGTAGCTCCGATGGAGTTTGCGAACAGCAGAACATCGCGCTTCAACCACGACACCTCGACAGGTGGAAACTCGAAGCCGACGCCAGGACCTGATTCTTGACCCATATTGGATAATAGATGAGTGATGAAATGTTTCAATTCAAGAGCTTTTTATGTGAAATGCACAATGGCAAAAAACGCAGCTGTTCCTCCAGTCTCACGAATTTAAACCTCTCGGATGTTGAAGCTGGAGTCGCGGGCGGGGCGGGAACTGCGACGCGGAGCTTTGAGTAATGGACCGAGGTTCTCACTAACGTCGACACGAGCTAAGCTACAACGCACGTAGTTTGGCCAGCAGCGCTTAGCGTGATGCTGCAAACCGCCCGCTCCCAACGCGGACATTGCCGGTGGCACTGGATTGGACAATCATGTGAACCAAGCAGTACGTACAAACATTGTATTATTACTAACGTATGTGGCAAGCGAGCGCCGCAGGCAAGCGAGCGCCGCACCCCACCAAACCTGCGCACCTCTATAAGCCTGTAGTTCCACCACAATATAGTTGTTTTACTACATATTAACATAATAGATTAAGCAGTACCTAGAGTATCTTTCTTGCACGTACGCGAGTTATGGCCAGTCTCTCTGCACCTACTACAGCGCGCCAAAGCCTGGCGGCTAACACCTGATCGCTCTCCTCTCTGACGC